GTGTGCTGCTGGTTTCTAGTGCCTAAGTGCAGCACCCTGCACTTGTCAGTATTGAAACGCATCCTGTTTATGTTAGCCGACTCCTGTAACCTATCCAGATCTTGCTGCAATCTTTCCCTCCCTACTAGCGTGCTCACCTCACCCCAAATTTTGGCATCATCAGCAAATTTAAACAGGTTGCTTTTCACCCCGTCGTCCAAATCACTGATGAAGAAATTGGGGGGGCTGTGGGGTGTGTGGAAGAGGAGAGTGGCTGGGGGTGTGCGTAGGGGGTGTGTGGGTACATGTGTGTGGTGCAGTGTGCTAGTATAGCAGTGTGCAGGGCTCCTTCCAGAAGTGCGTGGGGGAGGATGGTGGGTGCGGTGTGTGACTGTGTGGGGAGGGTGTGGTTGTGGAATTTGTCGGTATTGTGGGGTGTGCATGGGACCCCGTCACACCCCCCGCCGATCCATTCAGCCCCCACCCCACAACAGCCACCTCCCTGCCACCACCACCAATGTGCAGCCCCAGCACTTTTCACATTCAGTGGAAAGTATCAGCTGACAATGCAACATGCGATATTTCAGAAGATTGTTGGCTAGACTCACTCTTAATGGACTAAAGTCTACAAAAGGACAACTGGCTTCTTTCAGACCTCATATACTTGTCATTTCTTTTGAATTCAGTACTTTTTGGAAGATTAAGTAGACAGATTTGATACTTTGCATTTTTAGTTTAACAATCCAAGTTATTACTGCATATCTATGTTAATGCTCCCTACCCCGTCATCTTCATACCTCTGTCTTTTCTATCATACAATTATAAACATTGTTTCCTATTCTCAATTCATAGCCAAGAGAGCCTCAAACATGAAAATGCTTAAATCTAATTTCAGGGCACCTCTACTTTTAATCAGATATAGTACTTTTTCTGATGCCTGTTAAATAAGAGATTGAAAACCTGTGACATTTATTCATATACCCATACTGTAAGTATATCTTAGTGGTATGATTTTAACCTTCCTGTGACAGAAGTATCTCTACTGGAGCCTTTCTATTGGTGACTCTGCCCTCCTGTTATGGGCCAACCGCCTGCTTACTCGCCTGCCATGCCTTGATCTTAATTGATCA